CATTTACACCTCAGCCCATCGTGTCACTGGCGCAAACGTAGGGCTTTGAAGTCCATCAGTAACATTTCAACAAAAACCTGCTTGTAATCTGCGGCAGCGATTTCCGCAAATGTCTTCCATCATCTGTTCAGTACGGACCACAATTCTCTCGCAGATGCGTTTCGTCTTAAGGTCTTTTCAATATTTATCTTCGTCTACAAGGGTGTAAATTACGTGTTACTCGTATGCGCTCTTTGCGGTAGCCTAGTGGTTAAAGCGTTCGTTCGTCACGCTGAAGACCCAGGTTCCATTCCCCACATGCGTGGAAGTCATTTCTGGTGTTCCCCACCGTTATATTGCTTGGGCTCGTTCGTGAAGATCCGGGTTAGAATTGATCTTCAGTACCCGATGCTTGCCGTAGGAGGCGACTAACGGGATCGGGTGGTCAGGCTCGCTGACTTGGTTGACACATGTCATCGGTTCCCAATTGCGCAGATCGATGCTCATGCTGTTGATCACTGGATTGTCTGGTCCAGACTCGATTATTTACAGACCGGCGCCATATAGCTGGAATATTGCTGAGTGCGGCGTAAACCTAAACTCACTCACTCTTGGTTCCATGCTTGTCAAGTCCTTCAACCGCATTTGCAGGTTACAATATCAGTGGAAAATGACCCTGTCCAAAGTCGTACGTAAACGCTCTAGCCCTGCCCATATAACAACATACGTTCACTCTCCTTCGCACGTACATGTGCACGTGCTTCAATGGAATCTATCAGTGCAGATAGTTTGATCTAGTTTACCTACTGTTCCTCGACCACAGACATCTACTTGTTCTCCTCGTAACGAGAGCACGATTACATGCTATTTCTGTCCTACATTGTACACTATAGACATTATCGCAAAACACGGGAATCAGATTGGCTTAAACACGTCCGTGAACGCAAATAAATCCTGTATCTACGTGAATAGTTGTCAAAGTTTGCTGATATTTAGAAGAGGAGAGGATAAGAGTTTTACACATTAAGCAAAGCGAGACGGTGACACGTGTGAGACATCCCCTGTCGCCCAACGAGGGGGGAACAATTATCCCTCACTCCAGCACGTGACGATACACTAATCCTGCCTCACATTACAGATTGTATATTTCCTCAACTGCATATCATAATGTCAGGTGTTTGATCATCCGACTGTACCGACAATATTTGATAAACACCAGGTGGGACGGGTTATCGTAACGGCCATGTTGCTCGGTGTAACCCGTGTGTAATTGTTGCCGTCGGCCATGTGCTTTCCATGCTGGATAAGGGGGAGGGACCGCTGGCGTAATTGAGTGTAAAAGAATAGGAAGTCAAGAGTTTTTGTGAGGACAAGAAACTAACACTGTCTAAGCGGGTCCATCTGTCACAGAATGACTGATACAATCACTGCACTGTCTGAAATTGGATCGTGGCTAAAAGTGGAATATGCCATCGCTTGACGTGAAACACAAAATATGAGTTTCGTTTAATTTTTTTTTAAATCTATGCTTTAGTCACAATAATTTTTAACCTAGATCACACTAAGGGTGTATCTTAAAGCTGCTACAGCCTACGTGTGGCCCATCAAAAGGTTATTCATTGCCCCTTTAGGACCGTCTAGTCTGCATCTATCTATTACAAAGCCCTCATACAGACGGTCTGGAGCCCGTCCAGATCCAAAGTGCAGCCCATCTAGAGCCTATTTGCAGGCCATTCACAGTCCATTTATGACTAATCTGTCCCCAATCTACACCCATCTATCGCTTACACAGCCCTCATATCGCCTCCCTTTGGCCCATGTAGAACCCCTTTGGGGCCAAACCACAGCCCATTTATAACCCATCTATACCTATCTATCCCTCATACAGTCTGTCTGGAGTCTATTTTTGAGCCTCATGCTGTTGATCACTGGATTGTCTGGTCCAGACTCGATTATCTACAGATGGCCACCATATAGCTAGAATAGTGCTGAGTGCGGCGTAAAACTAAACTCACTCACACTCACTATTTTTTGCCCATCGATTCAATCTTCATGTAATTCCATCAATCCCTCATACAGTTTTCCTACAGCCTATCTGGGGCCCATTTAGAGCCCTGTTTGAGACCGTCCATTGCCCATTTAGGACCCATCTACACACCCTCTCCGACCGCGTCATACCAAAAGACGTTAAAATATGGTACTTGTTGGTCCCTGCCTGGCGCTCGGCATTAATGGGTACATCAAGGACTGGTCGGCTCGAGTCAGTATAATGTGTCTGAGTGGGGTATTCATGCTTCACTGCGGCATGGTATCTCAGTGGGCTAGCACTATAAAACCAGCTTAAGTCTGGGCTAGTACAAGCAGCCGCACGTACACATACACACGCATGCACGTAGTCATATGAGCGAAATATTCTCAAGCACGACGTTAAACCCAATTTCACCTCACCTCACCTCACACACCCTCTTCCTTAACACAACCTCCTAGCAGCCAATTTTGAGCCCATCCACAGGCCTTTTAGGACCTATCTGAAGCCCTTCTTGAACTTGCTGACTAAATCAATAATTCATCTGTGTTACCCCGATCGGTCGAATATAAAGGAGAAGAAAATAGTGGCTGGCTGTTAAGAACTGCTTGAAGAGCTGTTCAAGAACATTCGAAGCATGGAAGTATTTACGACACTGTAACTGGGACCATTAATTGGGATGATGAAGTAATTTTACAATTTGTACAGCCCACGTCAAGATACAGTGGGGGCGAGTGGCCAATTGTGTTCTTGACCTAACTCAAACCTGTTAACGACAGCAAATGGGCCCGAGCCTTGTTGCTCTTGAACAATTACGGGAAAAACTAGTCTCGGTAGGACAGGGGAAGTAGTGATTCAAACCTGGATCCGTCTTTAAATCATTAGTACAGTGACTCCTGAACTCCACACAGCGTTAATGCAATGCGCTGCCTCAGGCTCCACAACCTGTGCCAATAGGGAACATATCCCAGCTTTGTCGCCGACCTCGGGGGCGGATAATGAGATTCAGACAGGGGAAATATTCGGCTATTAACTCTTAATGAAAACCAAACTTGGAAATTTGTTGTTGTCCACGACACGAAACAATAGCCACAGTGATCACAGTTACATGACCATGCTGCTTGTTGTGGTCGTGTTTTGATCTGAGATTGTTTGAAGGATTGTTTGGATACTTCGGTTTATTGTTTCTGGGGGGTTAGGAAAACCCTTAACAGAGAAGTATTATTCTTAACGTTATACAGTGCTGTCGTTTGTAGTGGAACTGAAATTGACTGGTTCGTGTCCTTGTAGTGGGTATTCCATTTTGTCGAAGCGATGGAGTAAGTATAGTTTTACGAAGCCTTTCAAATATCACTATTCCAGCAGCGAGGAATACTAGAAATTAACTTCACACATAGAATCGAACTCGCGTCTTCGTCGAGGACGAGCGAACGCTTTAACCACAAGGCTATTCCAACTAGGCTTTCTACACTGAATTTGATAGCAGCGCCCGCGGAATGTTATTTCAACCACATCCGGCAGGTTGAGTGAATATTTTGCAATGTTCTCAACTTTTTCCGGAAATATTTTTTGTTAAACTATTTTACGTCATTTTGTTGTGTCTAAATATCATAGGTCAGCCCGTTGTTGTACGCCGACATACATGCACATGTGTTCAACAAGAGCTCAACAACTTGCACCCACTTCAACAGAAACTAGAGAAATGGGTTTTGTCTATTTCAGGAAACTATATTGTGACGCATACTTGATTTAGAATCACATCCAGTGGGCGAGTGGAGACTCGGTAGCACTTTATTGAGACGGGTGGATAGGTATTAACGCATTAGTATAATTTAAACAGTTTTATTTACATAATGGTTCAATATTTAAATGTTAATTCTCCATTTTTAACACTCTCTTAATCCTGCGCTCCTGCGCTACTCCACGTGGAAGTGTGGTCGTACCAAAGTCTAAAAAATGTTCATCAACCTCACAGAAGATACTTTCATCTAAGTAGATTATACCTGCCTCTACGTAGATGACACGCACATCTTCGTAGGTGATACGCACATCTTCGTAGGTGATACGCACATCTTCGTAGGTGATACCCACATCTTCGTAGATGATACCCACATCTTCGTAGGTGATACGCACATCTTCGTAGGTGATACGCACATCCTCGTAGGTGATACACACATCTTCGTAGGTGATACGCACATCTTCGTAGGTGATACGCACATCCTCGTAGGTGGTGATACACACATCTTCGTAGGTGATACACACATCCTCGTAGGTGATACACACATCTTCGTAGGTGATACACACATCTTCGTAGGTGATACGCACATCTTCGTAAGAGATAATTTCATCCACGTAGATCATACATTCATCTACGTAGATGCTGAAAAAAGAAGAAGATTGTGACGCTTCCATAGCTGTTCGACCCCCTTTTGCGCCAAATCATTTTCAAATTAGTGATAAATTCATCATTAAACCGAACTCGCTAATTCATTCATGTATATCGCAGTTATCACCTTTTATATTTTATCGTGGTGGGTGAGGTGTCTACAAGTAAGCAGCCAGGGTAGTGATAGCGAGTTTAAGGTGCCGGGACTGGGTGTAAAAACCTTGGAGTCAACTTTGTGTGCAGACTCTTTCGGTGTTGTCACAACCCCTAGTGTACAGTACACAAAACCCCGTTGGTAAATGACCAGATGGTGGCCACATGAATACGTGCAAACACCTAGTTGCGGGTACATCAACGTGCAGTAAACTTGGACAAAGTACTGTGACTATGTGTCCCAGTCCATCCAGCTGTGAATGGGTACCTCGAAAAGATGGGAAAGCCACATTAACTAGTGCTGCACGAGTTGTATGATCCCCAGGGAGTTGAGATTGAAAATACCATGTGCCGTTGAGATTGACATCCAATGATCGATGAGCATGCATGTGCATGGAATGGACTATAGCGCTATATAAATATCCATATAATGATAATAATATTTTATCGCTACAGGTATAGAAATGGCGAGCGACATAGGTCTGATCACCCTGGCGATAGTGAGTATATTGGGCTTGTCCCATGCTCTCAGTGTAGCTGCACCCTACGACAAACGTCAACAGTTACCTGACCACCTACAGTGGATCGACAACGCAGGGTATCCCGCGGAGGGTCGGGCCCCTGATGGCCACCAACTGACCCGGAAGGAAGTGACGAAGACAAACAAGACGCGTCTGGACGTGAATTATCAGAATGACCAGTCGCACGTTGAAGAAACTGAGTACCAATATGGCGGACAGAAACGCCCGAGCGCTTGTAAGAGCGCGAACAGCTTCCTGAAGACGAAGCTCAAGAACCTCCGCCAGCAGTACAAACAGAAGATGAAGGCTATCAAGAAGATCATTATCAAACTGCTCGACGACAGCTTCGACGACCCTAACGATCCCGTTGCCGATTTCTGCACCGTCAATGGCGAGGTGGTCGACGTTCCGACGTCCAACGCTCCGCTCAACGATGAAAATATCCGGGCCGCGAACAGCGAGGAACCATGCAAGGTCAGCCCGTGGTCGGAGTGGAAGACGTTGGCTTTCGGTACCCTCGAGAGACGACGGGAGGTGGAGAGTGACGGGTGTGGATGTCCCCCTGAGGACGAGCTGGTCCAGGTGATCGACGTGGGACTCTACCTTGGTGAGGAGACCCATGTTGGGCTTGTTTGGTGCGGGAAATGGGAGTGAGTGGGAGTGAGTGAGTACTGGGTGAGTGAGTGAGTGAGTGAGTTAAAGTGGGTATTGGGTCAGTGAATGAGTGAGTGAGTTTGAGTGCATACTGGATGAGTGAGTTTGAGTGGGTATTGGGTGAGTGAGTTAAAGTGGGTATTGGGTCAGTGAATGAGTGAGTGAGTTTGAATATGTATTGGGTGAGTGAGTTTGAGTGGGTATTGGGTGACTGAATGAGATTAAGTGCGTAATGGTGGGTGTGAGGGATGAGTGACCGAGTGAGCGAATGAGTTTTAACGTCACTTTAAACAGTATTCCAGTTACGTTACGGTGTGTAAGCTTAATGAGAGAAGGAAGAAGGAATCGATTTGGAGAAACACGCCAGCACGGGTACAAAACCAGAAACATAATTAGTGCGAACGGGGATTCGAACCCAGAATCATAGCATTTGCTTGTGATGGGTGGTGAACGTTAATATTTATTGGTTCTTGATTCTTCTTGCAACAATATTTCATTCATTTTTAAGTCATATGCCTGTCGTCCCTCCCCAGGAAACAACACATCGCCCAAGTTCCAAAACCCTGATGTTGTTGGCAATAATTTCGACGAGGATTTCCTCAACCACTTCGGGGGCAACAACGGCGATGGCGGAAACAATGGAGGAAACGGCGGAAACTCTGTGGGATACGGGAACTCTAATGGTGGCAATAACGGTGGCAACAATGGCGGCAACAATGGCAGCAACAACGGCAGCAACAACGGCAGCAACAACGGCGGCAACAACGGCGGCAACAACGGCAGCTACGGCAATGGTGGCGGATTCGGAAACGGCGGCAACAGTGGCGGTAACGGTATTGGTAGCAACAATGGTGGAAACGGCAACGGCGGATCCAACAACGTCGGCAACGGTGGATCTGGATCAAGTGTTCGGGATATCCTTCTTGTACTTGACTCTTCCGGTTCCATTGAAACTGACGATTTCGAGCTGATGAAAGATGGCGTGGTCATGATGATTGATTTATTTTGCGGTGGTTTTGGGCCCCTTAAAACCAACAACCGCCTCGCCATAGTCCAGTTTGCCAGCAACGTCACCGTCATCCACCGATTCAGCGACTCCCAGTATCCCGCGGACTTGAAAGAAAAGGTACAGAAGCTCAGGCACTACAAGGGAAACACGTGCACCGGAAACGCGCTGCAGGCGGCCATGAAGAAAGTTTTCAGTTTCCTTTACGGTAGGTCTAGACTAAGGCTTAGTCTCTGAATATATATAATTTTGATAGTAACAAACAAGCCCATTTATATTGAAAAGGAGCCCTAGGGAGACCAGAGATCCTGAACCTGAGGAAATCTAGACTTGCTTTATTTAGGGCTTTAGCACTGCAGAGAGGGCTTGGCGGTAGGGAAATTAATGTGGTTCAGGGACTGTGAGACAGACTACGGTAGGTCGTAAACACCTTTATAGGAAATTGGGCTGTGTAATCCCTCAATACAATATGTGACCGAGGTGGTTTTAATGCTTTACTAGAAATTCATTTATTTAATTTATGTATCATGGGTGTGAAAGCTGAAAAAATGCTTTATCATTCAGTCGAAAGCGACAGCATCCCGGTCAATATTCGTATTATCAAATTGTAATTTATGATACAATGGAGGGGCACGGGAGGTACAACATGAATGAGTATGGTTTTACGCCGCTTTTAGCAATATTCCAGCAATATCACCACCTGGAATGGGCTTCACACGTTGTACCCATGTGGGGCATATTTGCGGTGTGAAGAGCGAACGCTTTAACGATGCAGTTACACCGCCGACCCTTGGTACAACGTTTTACGTAACACTTACGTCTTTAGTAATAACAGGAGATATGATTATTTGTCCATGCATTACTTCTGGGCAAGGGGCGTTGGGGTAGCCTAGTTGTTAAAACGTTCGCTCGTCACGTTCGATTCCCCACGTGGGCACAAAAGCTGAATATGGGCCGTGATATTGCTGAAAGCGGCGTAAAATCTATCTCACTCATTCACTCACTCACTCACTTCCAGGTATGCGGGACTACACAGTGAAAGACACCTTGATCGTGACCGACGGGCAGTCTAATTGTGGCATTGATATCCGCCGCGCGGCCTCTGAACTCCAACAAGCCAGCAACGTCTTTGCCCTTGGCGTTGGCATAGCTGGCAAGGTCAAGGCCAGAGATGAAGTCAAATCTGTTGTTTCCATGGAGGACCCTCATCACATTTTCTCTCTAGCGAAGTTCGCCGACTTCAAGGAAATGGTAGAAAACCTCAAGAGACACAGGGCTACCAACAACCCATGCACGCCCATTCAAGACCCTTGAACGGGTTCGGATTGAGGCCAGTGGGCGGTGAAGGTTGGGAGCGTCGGCTTGGTTTGGGCAGATTTTAAAGAGGGAATGTGTTGGGAATATGACAGAGACTGTTCCTCGATGAAGAAGATGGTTCTGTTTGGCTGCGACTCTATATTACAATAAATAACGTTACATTTTGAACCTAGAACTGTTGAAAAACATGCCATCTGTCCTGAAGACCGTGTAACGGCTTGCCCGACTGTATGTAAGATGTGTTTACATCAGTGCGCATCCTGCCGCCAGTACCTGTTTCGTTTGTGATTAAAATTCATTCACAAAGTCACCATTTCGATCTTTCCATCAATTCTTTATGTCACAGTACTGCAAGAGGAATGGGCTGAATATAGACTTACGGTCCAGAAGTGAAATGTCATCTTATTGTGGAATATATATATTCACAAAATCAACAAAGTCCACAGATACCACATAAACATGGATGCCATATCAACAAACATGCTGCACAGACATACATGTCAAACAAACAGGCATGTCACACAAACATATATGTCACACAAACATGCATGTCACACAAACACATATATCACACAAACATGCATGTCACACAAACATACATGTCACACAACATATATGTCACACAAGAAATATATCCCACACAAACACATGTCACACAGACATACGTGTCACAACATATATGTCACACAAGAAATATATGTCACACAAACACATGTCACACAGACATATATATGACAAACATACATGTCATACAAACACACATGTGACACAAACATACATGTCACAGAGACATACATGTCACAGAAACATACGTGTCACACAGACATATATATGACAAACACACATGTCATACAAACATGCATGTCACACAAACATACATGTCACAAACACATATGTCACACAAACACATGTCACACAGACATACATGTCACACAAACATACATGTCACACATGTCACACATATATGTCACACAGACATATGTCACACAAACATGCATGTCACACAAACATGCATGTCACACAGACATACATGTCACACAAACATGCATGTCACACAAACATATATGTCACACAAACATGCATGTCACACAGACATATATGTCACACAAACATGCATGTCACACAAACATACATGTCACACAGACATACATGTCACACAAACATACATATATACATGTCAAACACACATGTCACACAAACATGCATGTCACACAAACATACATGTCACACAAACATATATGTCACACAAACATACATGTCACACAGACATACATGTCACACAAACATACATGTCACACAGACATGTCACACAAACATACATGTCACACAGACATGCATGTCACACAGACACACAAACACACATGTCACACAAACATACATGCCACACAAACATACATGTCATTCAGACATACGTGTCACACAAACATAATGTCACACAAACAAACATGCTGCTCAAACATACATGTCACACAAGCATACATGTCACATAAACATACGTGTCACAAACATACATGTCACACATGTCACACAAGACATACATGTCACACATGTCAACATACATGTCACACAAACATATATGTCACACAAACACACATGTGACACATACATACATGTCACAGAGACATACATGCCACACAGACATACATGTCACAGAAACAAACGTGTCACACAAACACATGTCACACAAACATACATGTGACACAAACAAACGTGTCACACAAACATACGTGTCACAAACATACATGTCACACAAGACATATGTCACACAGACATACATGTCACACAGACATGTCACAAACATACATGTCATACAAACATACATGTCACACAGACATACGTGTCACAGAAACACATACGTGTCACATGTCAACACATACATGTCACACAAACATACATGTCACACAAACAAATGTCAAACAAACATACAAACATACACACAAACATACATGTCACACACACACAAACACACAAACATACATGTCACACAAACATTCATGTCACACACATGTCAAACAGACATACATATGACACAGACATACATGTCACACAAACACGTCACACAGACATACATGTCACACAGACATACATGTCACACAAACTTACATGTCACACAGACATTCATGTCAAACAAACATACATGTCACACAGACATAGATGACCAACGTCATGTGATGCAGATAATGTTTTTATTATGAAAAGCGTTAATAAATGTTCTCTATGCAGGTTACATTATGTGAATGATTCTTGATTATTACGATGACAACACAGAGACAGTGTATACATTACTACTTCGTCAGGATGTTGATAAGAGGCCAACATAGCATATGGTATTCTGCTGCAATATTCTCCAACGGCACTAGATAACACTAAAAGTACATTTTATGTAGATTTCAAAAACAATTTAATCTACTTAGGGTGGATATGGTATAAAAAGGCTTTGGAATTTCCAGATATACATGCAACGTTATTCCTGAGTTTTTCATATCACAATCTGCCTGATATAGTTTAGTGACATGAAATATGGAACCTCTTTAACTTTCTAAGGGGTATAGAAGCACCTTGCTATATACCTAGCACAAAAATGGTCTTTTAAAGGTTTTAATACGTTGTGTCTTCTAGTCTCAGGTAATTTCCATAGACTTACATGTTATTTCAGTGAAGCATGAATAATTTTCATGAAGTGGGTTTAGGATGGATCTTTGTAAAATATGACAGGCAAATATGAAATCATCTCTGCTCTGCGCACATAATTTTTAGTTCAAATTTCCGACCAATATTTAACTAATGACATCACATTTATCAACTTACGTATGGTTCCATAATGCACAATCCCATAGGCCGCCATGTTAAAGGAGTTCATGGCACTGTACATATGTTGATTAAATTGTTGCCATTCGATAAATACGCAATGGAAAATTAAACAGAAATTATGTGATTGTAGGTAAGATGATTCATCACAAATGTGCAAAATTTGACTTGGATCTTACGAAAATTGAATTCATGAAAATTATTTATGCTACACTAAATTAACATGTTAGTCTATGGAAATTACGTCAAGTGTCCGAATACTTTTTGCACGATCGTTATATCCGCCAGTTCGTTATACGTGTGTTCGTTATAAACGTAGCTTACTGTACCAAAAAGGACATTTTGTCTGTCTTGAAACTTTACTTCGTAACAACCATAGCTCCTATACGAATTTTGACTGAAGTATACATAAAATGGACGGGGCAAGAAAAGGTTCGTGATATCCGTCAGTTCGTTATAACATAGTTTACTCTTAAAAAACTGGAGCATTGTATTGTTTGTCTTGAAACTTAATTTCGCTAAACCATAGTTCGTTATTCGAATTTTGCAGATTTGCAGTAAGTGGCCGGCTCCAAAAACAATTGGCTATATCGGTTAGTTCGTTATATCCGACAGCTCGTTATAAACGTAGTTTACTCTGCCAAAAATGGTAGTTTTATGGAGTTTGAGGAAGCTAGTTGCCACCAATGACGAGACAGCCGTCAACACAAGTGTGGGAGTTAGGGTCGTAGCAGTCACTTCCGGGACAGGTCTTCGTGTATCTGATGCCCCCCAGGGAACACTGGTAGTACTGGTGTTTGTTACCGGGGACAGGGAAATACAGTTCGTTGTTCCGGATGTGGTCCTCGGTGCAAGGGTACGTGTACCCGCTCGTCGCAGCTCCGGTGGGGGCATAGGTGAATTTGGGCGCGGCTGTTGCTCCAGGGTTCGACCCACAGTTCGGGGTCAGCATTGCTTGACCGACACACGTCTTCGCGCAGTCGTCCCAGACCTCCTGGTTCGGGCAGTCCAGGAGCTGAGGGTTCAGTGTGTCCAGGCATTCGACGAACTTATGGATGTCCAGTGGGTAGCTGTAGAATCGTTGACCGTGGAGGGTCATCTGGGGGCAGGGGTTGTACGAGAGCCCGGGTTCCTCACACGTGATGTGTGCCTGCACCCACACATATGACGTCTGGCAGGACCTCACCCACGCGTGTCCCCATACGTCACATTGTATGTATTTATGGTGGTCCCCAGGGTACTCGAAGTAAGAGGTTGTTGAGGAGATTCTGGGCCGTGCATGGATTCTTGGTGACATTGCCAACATAAGAACAGTCCACTTTGGGAATATCAGCACCGTAGCATGTTCCACATTCAGGGTCAAAGAGGTTGTTAGCTGGACAGTAGGTGACCTGGAACAGGCCATTTGGCAAACACTGGATGTAGCGAGTCAGGTCACCTGGATAGGGGGTACTTCTTTCCGGACACCGCATCTGCAGGCTTGCATGGGTTCTGCACGGTCGGAACACCTGGATGGAGAGAAAGTGAGTGAGTGAGTGAGTGAGTGAGTGAGTGAGTGAGAGAGTGAGTGAGTGACATGATATGATATGACCATTGGTCCACTGTCCAGAGACAAGTAAACATTATGATTGCCTACCGACCGAGACATGATATGAACTGTGAGCAGATAGCCATATGCCTTTAACCTATGTTCCGTAATTTGATGCTACAGCCAAATGTCAAAGATAGGTTGCTGTTTTTCGCCGAACTCAGCAATATTCCAGCAATATATGGCAGCAATCTGTAATTAACCGGGTCTGGACCATACAATCCAGTGATCAACAACATGAGCATTAATCTACGCAATTGGGATACGACGACATGTGTCAACCAAGTCAGCGAGTCTGACCACACGATCCCGTTAGTCGCCTCTTACGACAGGCATGGGTTGCTGAAGATCAAATCTAACCCGACACAGAGAGTTTGATATTGAATTCAACACTTACGTTAGCCTTAAATTAACCACGTGGACTTGCCTGTTTAAACTGAGAAATCCATATTATTAACATTAGACCTAAGTGCTGGCTGCCGTTACCGACATATCACAGGAGATGTTACATCCTGTCACGTTGATTATTTGGCCAAGTTGACCGCTTTCATATTTGTCTAAATTATCATATTTGTCTAAATTATCTGTCTGCAGCTGTAGGTGAACAAATTCATGTTTTAAAATGTATCCATGGTAGAGCTGGATCCTGGCCCAGTTGAAACATAAAATATATCATATCGTGGAGTTTTGGGTAATTACAAACAACAACTAGCATATGTATGGCGTTTATGTATGACACGAACATGGGATTTTAACCAACGATCAGCAAATCCTGGCAGCCGAGGGGACATAACTCTGTAAAGTGAGTTGCGGGCCCCAGTCCACTGAGTGGTTCTTAAGTGTACTCACTGTCACATATGAGAGGTCTGAACTGGATCAGATCTGATTTCGTGCACGGTCTCGGGCTGTGGCTGGGCAGATCCCTACAAATGACCTCGAATCCTGTAAAACATAATCACATACAGTTGAAGATAGGTTCGAATTATCCGAGTCTTCGACAAATTCGGAAATCTCAAGTCAAATACACAGGGCTCACCTACCTGTAACTACCTGGTTGCCGATAAGGGGCGTCAAGGTGACTCTACAACCAAATACACAGGGCTCACCTACCTGTAACTACCTGGTTGCCGATAAGGGGCGTCAAGGTGACTCTACAGCCAATTACACAGGGCTCACCTACCTGTAACTACCTGGTTGCCGATAAGGGGCGTCAAGGTGACTCTACAGCCAAATACACAGCGTACACCTACCTGTAACTACCTGGTTGCAGATAAGGGGCGTCAAGATGACTCTACAGCCAAATACACAGGGTTCACCTACCTGTAACTACCTGGTTGCAGATAAGGGGCGTCAAGATGACTCTACAGCCAAATACACAGCGTACACCTACCTGTAACTACCTGGTTGCAGATAAGGGGCGTCAAGGTGGCTCTCCAACCAAATACACAGGGCTCACCTACCTGTAACTACCTGGTTGCCGATAAGGGGCGTCAAGGTGACTCTACAGCCAATTACACAGGGCTCGACTACCTGTAACTATCTGGTTGCCGATAAGGGGCGTCAAGGTGACTCTACAGCCAATTACACAGGGCTCGACTACCTGTAACTACCTGGTTGCCGATAAGGGGCGTCAAGGTGACTCTACAGCCAAATACACAGGCTCACCTACCTGTAACTACCTTGTTGCCGATAAGGGGCGTCAAGGTAAGGTTGCAGCCGATACTTCGTTGCGAGTCCTTCGCCATGATGTACAGATAATCGGTGTTGGCATCAGGCTTGGCTTGGTAGAAGATGTTCCCATTTCTGTCGATGACCTGGGTGATGAGGTTGTGTGCGGGGCCGGGGTAGAAGTTGTTGACGTCGGCGTAGAGGACGGCCGAACCGCAGGAGACCGTGGACTGAGATGTAAAAGATGCAGTGACGAGTCCGCTTGTGCATATCTATGCGGGGCTTCCATGATAACAGGAGGCTAGTGGTTTAAGTGTGCGCTCGTCACGCCGAAGACTCGGGGACGAGTCTCCACACCGGTATAAAGGGTGAAGTCCATTTCTGGTGTTCCATACTGTGATATTGCTGGATTATTGCTGAAAGCGGCGTAAAACCATATTCCCCCACTCAATGATAACACTGAGTGAGTATTGTTGTACGCTGCTTTCAGTAATATTTCAGCAATATCACATTGGGGGGAGCTATATAAAAAGTGGGCGGGGACACACAAAGTTGGCGGGGATATATATGAAGTGGGCGGGGACACACATAGTGGGCCGGGATATATATAAAGTGGGCAAGGACACACACAGTGAGGCACACAGAGTGGCACACAGAGTGGACGGTGATACATATGAAGTGGGCGAGGATATATACTCTCCCAAAAAAGAAACGCATATAGGAATTTCATCTGCATTTTTATGTTTATTTTGAAACATCTTGTAGGCTTTATGAGCCAATGAAATATAGCGAAATTGCACACTGGAAATGCAGACTTATCCGTCTTTGGCACCAACTCGAGGAAAGTCGGTTTGAGTGTCACATGGAGACGTGTGGTGGCGCTGAAGTCAATACCTCGTGTGACCACCGTGGGCATCCAGAACTGCACGGCATCGCCTTGGCATCGAACGAATAAGTCTCAGAATCTCGTGTTGCCCAATCGCAGCATCGCCTGTAGTGCGATGCGAACTGGGGCTGAGGGTTACGGCGTCGCAAGTCTCAGGGCATCCCACAGATGTTCGATCGGGTTAAAGTCCGGGAATCTCGTGTTGCCCAAGGGGCACATTAATGTTGTGATTCTGGAGGAAGTCTCTAGTGTGATGTGCTGTGTGGGGCCTGGAATTGTCCTGTTGAAACAACTCCCTCTGGCGATCAATGACTGGAATGAGGTGTGGGCGTAGGATTTCGTCACAGTACCGTTGAGCTGTCAGGTTGCCCTGGATCATCACCAAATCACTTCTTCTACGGCAGGTGATTGCCCCCCACATCCTAACACTTCCCCGGCCGAAAGCGTCAGCGAAACGTTCACGTCGACGTCTGTACACCCGTATTCTTCCATCGCGTCGTTCCAATAGAAATCGTGATTCATCACTGAACCAGATTCTACGCCAATTCGGTAGGTTCCAGGCCTGAACGTTGGCGCACCATTGAACCCGATGTCGACGATGTTGTTGTCGAAGCACAGGGCCAAAATAAGGTCTTCTGGCACGTAAACCAGCCTCTCTCAACCTGTTCCTGACAGTCTGTGCAGAAAGCCTCCTCAATCCGGGTATTTGTCGAGCGGTACTGGTCGCCGTAGCTGTTCGATGACGCAGGTGATGTACCCGGATGTAGCGATCCTGTGCCGCTCGAGGTCGCCCACTACGAGGGGCATCTGCTACCGCATTCTGCCGGCGATATCTCTCCCAGAGCCGTGAAATGGTGCTTTGGTGAACATTCATGCGTCGGGCAACTGCACGTTGAGACTGGCCAGCTTCAAGCAAACCAATGGCGATATGACGGTTGGCTTCACTTAGACGTTTGCATTTTAAATACAGTGAATAATCGACAGACAGCGATCAACCTTTTATACCCATCATTGAGACTATCTGATCCCCAACGTTTACGTGCATTTCATGTGACTTGTGTATTCTGTGACACTACACGCCGAAATTGAAAATCATGCTGTAAATACGGATATTTTACGGATGGTGCGTTTTGTTGTGATGTTTCATCACGTTTTAATTCATTGCTACATCAAATTGCTATTTTCATGATGCGTTTCATTTTTGGGAGATATATATCCCATATATCCCATATATCCCATATATATATATATATATATAGTGGACGGCAACACACTCACTTGCGCGGAGATATATATATATAGAGGCTGGACAGAACACACAGTGAGCGTGGATATTCAAAGTGGGTTGGAGGGTCATAACATAATTAGTGGACATGGACACACAACGTGGGCGTTAAAATATTTAGTGGGCGGGGACACACACAAGGAGTGTTGACATCTATAGTGGGCGGGGACACAGAACCTTCACGTTAAAATATTTACGTGGGCGTTGACATCTATATTTGGCGGGGACACACAGGGGGCGTTGACATCTATAGTGGGCGAGGATACAAAAATATGAGGGGATTGACAGATATTTTGCGTCTTGACAAATTTAGTGAGGCGAAATGTTGTAGTGACCACGTGGTTACCTGAATGGTGAGGCCGTTGTTGCCGGTGAAGGGGAAGGCGTATGGAGGACATGTACCGATCGTACATTCTACCGTCGCATTGGCGTACAGTGGAGCTGCAAGACGTTCATCAGATTAGATAATCCCGAATAAATCCTAAATATATTAGTATCGAGATAAGGTGACTACTACTTGCAAAAACAGTATCTCGGATGTAAGAATCGGAAGGGGAACTGAATCCTTCTCTTGGACTGAGTTTTATGTATTTTCTTGACAAAAACGGGTAGGGATTTTCTCCTGTCACAACAAAGGACGGTTCAGTGTGTGAGTGAGCATTTCAATATGGACGCCTCGGCTGAATAGGTGAAGCGCTGCACGTCATTGACATACAAACTGAAGGACCGACCATTTAAATTGACGTTAAGGACCGACCATTTCAAATTGACGTAATTCAAATTGGCGTTAAGGGACGGACCATTTCAACTGACGTTAAGGGACCGATCATTTAAAATTGACGTTAAGGGACCGACCATTTCAACTGACGTTAAGGGACCGATGATTTCAATTTGCCGTTAAGGGACCGATCATTTCAAACTGACGTTAAGGGACCGATCATTTCAAATTGACGTTAAGGGAGGAACCATTTGAAATTGACGTTACCGGACCGACCATTTCACATTGACGTTAACGGACCGACCCTTTCAAATTCTGTGGCGTCCGGGGATTTTATCGTAAAATTATTGGTCCCACAAAAAAAGTAATGATGCTTCAGATTGTTGAAAAAGGAACGATTTTGTCAGCCACTGAAAAATAGACCGTTGCAAGATGTTTTGTCATAAAATATGTGTGGCATTGGTTTTAGTTGAAAAAAACTGGTCGGTCCTTGAAACTAACTTACAAGGATCTCTCTGAGACACTCACCCCTGCAGATGTTGTTCTGTATCTCCTGTTTGAGATTGGCGATGCTGTCATACCCGTTTGCAATATAGGAATGGGTGCAGGATGGGGGAGTGGCCACTCTCCGCAGTTCAGCGGTGTCTATGGCACTCCCCACCCCAACGGTGAACACGGCGATGCCGTTAAGGCGTACATTGTCAGCAGCATGTTCAGTGTTAATGGCGTCGTCGGGCACTCCATCAGTGATGAGGATTGCCACCTTGACGGCGCTGTCCCTACCACCCATTGACCTGGCGAAGACGTCGGTGACGGCGGCGTTGAGAGCCCCAGCGGTGTTGGTGGCACCGCCAGTGTAGACAAGGTTTGAAATGGCAGTGTAGACTTCAATGTTTGAGAAGTACTTGTTGAGACGGAACTGGACATTAACGTTTGAGGCATACGTTATGACGGCAACGTGGGCAGTGCTTGCGCCAATATTGAGTCCATTTACGATTTCCTTTAGGAAGTTCTTGACCCTTGTGAAGTCGTCCTTGCTGAGACTGCTCGAGGTGTCCACGATAAAGGCAATGTCCACCTGTCTGTTCAAAGCCTGACAACCTGGAAACAAAGAGAAGTAAATAAAAACTGTTACAACAATCAGACCACTACTAAAGACTCCACTAATCAGTAGACGTAGTAGCAGCAGTAGTAGTAGTGGTGGTGGTGGTGGTGGTACTAATAGTAGTGGCAGTAGTAGTAGTGGTAGTCGTAGTAGTGGTAGAAGTAGTAGTAGTGAGTAGTAGTAGTAGTGGTGGTGGTGGTGGTGGTAGTAGTAGTGGCAATATTAGTAGTGGTAGTCGTAGTAGTGGTAGAAGTAGTAGTGGGAGTAGTAGTAGTAGTGGTGGTGGTGGTGGTGGTAGTAGGAATAGTAGTAGAGGTAGTAGTAGTAGTAATAGTGGTAGTAGTAGTAGTAGTAATGGGAGTAGTAGTAGTAGTGGTGGTGGTGGTGGTGGTGGTGGTAGTAGTAGTAATGTAGTAGAGGTAGTAGTAGTAGTAGTAGTAGCAGTAATAGTGGTAGTAGTGGTAGTAGTAGTGAGTGAGTGAGTTTAGTTTTACGTCGCACTCAGCAATATTCCAGCTATATGGCGGAGGTCTGTAAATAATCGACTCTGGACTAGAGTGATCCAGTGATCAACATCTTGAGCATCGATCTGCGCAATTGGGAACCGATGACATGTGTCAACCAAGCCGGCGAGCCTGACCACCCGATCCCGTTCGTCGCCTCTTACGACAAGCATGGGTTACTGAAGGTTCATTCTAACCCGGACCTTCACGGTTCCCATTTCTGGTGTCCGCGGTGTTGCTGGAATGTTGCTAAAAAGCGGCGTAAAACTACACTAACTCACTAACTCACTCACATACTCAGTGACGGGGTATTAGCACTATAGTCAGTGACTGCATGCGCCTTGATTCTAGTTTTTACCGGTACAAGCGGGGAGAAGAAGAGTTAGCACGGACCTAGTTCCATCTCGTTGACTATCGCCGTGAAGTTGTAAGCGCTGCTCCCTCCGCTCTGATACTTGTCCTTCCAGAAAACGGCCTGCTCCTCCACCTTCAGAGGAATGGTCACCCCTGGGTGGCTGGTTTGTAGCGTGAGGTAGAGAGCGGCGGCCAGTCCGGAGTAGAGGGGCTTTCGGAGGTCTGACCACTGGACTGTCCTCCAGTTTATGTTCAGGGCGTTCTGTATGATTGTGTACAGAGGCTGCAACTCGGGCTGGTTGCCCTGGGTCTGAGCGAGCATACTGGAGCTCACCTGCAATGGGAATACATAGCAGCGGGTAGGATTATTGTGAAGCACACGACAAAGGCAACGACCAATATTGTTTTTTAATGTACATCCATCCAGTAATTAACATTGACCACATTTTTCAATATCTGGTGCTGTCTTTTTAACACGATGACTTAAACTGAATGTGTATAGAGACATTTTCAAGTAGGTAGCATATGGTGTGGAACTGGGGTTGGTGTCTTCGGTTTCCTGTACTCGGAAAAGGAATTGGATAACCTTGTCAAAATTTGTGATTTTACTGCACCTTTAAGACTATAAAGTGCATATAATTGCTTCCGATCCGCATGATGGAATCCCTACATGGTACTTGCTCTGGGAAATATTCCTCGTTTACCACTCTGATTGGTTAATGATATTTCCCTTCGTTAAAGGTAAAGACATAAAACAGATCTCTGGAATTTCTAATTCAAAGGCACCACTGAGTGTATTTTTACGTCGCTTTCAACGCCATTCAGGCAATATCACAGCAAACATTCAACCCTGAAGTTCCGGTTAGAATTGGTTTTCAGCAACCCATGCTTGTCGTAAGACTAACAGGATCGGGTAGTCAGCCTCGCTGACTTGGCTGACACATGTCACCGTTTCCTAGTTGCGTAGATCGATGCTCGAGATGTGAATATCTGGATTGATTGGTCCAGACCCTAGTATTTTAAGACCGCCGCCATATTGTTTGAATATTGCTTAGTGCGATGAATCACAACAAACAAAAATACAAAAAACATATTCACAAAGTTGCAACCAACATTTCCAACATCTTTGTCAAGACCGTTGATGTCATTTCCCATCGCAATATGGCTGCAATATTGCTGACGTGACGTGTGTTTTTTTTAAAAATACTCTGCCAAAGGACGATAGGGTAGCCCAGTGGTTAAAGCGTCCGCTAGTCACGCCGAAGACCCGGGTACAGTTGCCCATCCCTGATGTCCAAACCCCGTGATATTGCTGGAATATTGCTAACAGCGGTGTAAAATCACACTCACTCACTCACTCACCTGCCAGATTCCACCACTGTTATTTGGGTCACTGTATGTTTTCGGCGAGGACCCATCCCTCGTCTCCACGTACGCCAGGCGGCGGAGAAACAATTTGTCCTGGGGGAAGATGCAGTTGGTTCGAATGATGTCCACCACCGTCGTCACTACATCTGGGCCGGTGGCACCAGCGTGTTCAACGACGTTGACGCTCAAACATCCTGGAACGACCAGGAGCAGCGACAGGAACAACGCGAACATCGTTTATGTTGGTTGTTATATTGCCGACGTCTAACGACAGCACCTTCTACAGCTAGTGATCTGAGCGGAGTCTTCCCCAACTCTGCCGCCGATGGCGTCGTTATCGAGATTTAAAGCTCTCAAGCAGGAAGCAGATTTGTGACCACAGTCGGCTATTCAGCATCAGGGCCTATTGGGATTTTGGCAATACCCTGGTCGAGTATCAATATTATTGGATACGTCTTCGCGTGAGCATACAGATTGTTAAAGGTCAGGTCATCCATATCAGAAGAATTTTATCGTGAGTCTTCCTAGTGACAGCAATACGTAGTTTTCAGTATCTGTGAATGACTAGTGTTCAGTCCACTTGTAGTGTTCTTCCTCATATCACAACCGGGGCACCAGAGTGTGAGAGTGAGTTTGAGAGGTGTGTTTGTGCGTGTGTGCGCTTGCGTTCGTGTTTGACAGCTAAGGTATAATTCATAGGGCAGACCGGTTGGTCATTCGTCCAAACCGAACCGATGTCATAGAAGAACCTTCGACTTATATGGGGATGCGGGTAGGGGTAAGGTGTACGAATGAGTGTTCCAATTATATTACAGCGTTTCAGCCCAACCTAAAGTGAGTGAGTGAGTGAGTTTAGTTTTACGACGCTTTTAGCAATATTCCAGCTTTATCACGGCGGGGGACACCAGAAATGGGCTTCACATATTGTACCCATGTGGGGAATCGACCTAAAGTGATGCAAGCGTCAGTTTTCCTGAGGTGAAACCCATGAGTGAGTGAGTTTAGTTTTACGCCGCTTTTAGCAATATTCCCGCAATATCACGGCGGGGGACACCAGAAATGGGCTTCACATATTGTATCGATGTGGGGAATCGAACTCGGGTTTACAGCGTGACTAGCGAACGCCTTAACTACTAGGCTATACCCCACCGCCCCATGAATCCCACGAGCACGGGAAACAGTAAAGTAAAGAGGGCGAACCGGGGTTTCGAACCCACAACCACAGGTGTCTAGAGTGCCGAGCGCACGCAAATCTACACAACTTATTGCGGCGACTTAAGGACAGGGCAGTGTGCGCAATAATTTCCAAAGTTTGATAGTGGGTCGGACGAAATAATTCACTAGCCCGAAATTTGAATGTAGAAACTAAGCAAAGATTACAAAAAATATATGAGAATAAGATATTGTTGGCATGACACGGGTTTCATTATCATGAAGCTGCAATATGATGAACATTTTTATCAGACCATACTCTTGCATGATTTAAATATGTAACTTAATAAGTTGGAGAGAGTGACATATTTACAAAATGCCCCCATGAATATTCACTAGCCAGTCGGGCCAGTGACTGTGGAGATTTACTGGCCCGACTGGATATTTACTTGCCACGGGCTAGCGGGCCAGTGGCTATTTCGCACACTGCGACAGGGCCACCCGTGCCCCCCTCCCAAGGGGAAGACTCGGATGTCAGAACAAAAATGATGTTCTATTGATATTAACCATCCTATACTGAACAGCAAGAAAACGCAAGTCGGGCTTTTTGTCAAGTTTTTTAATAGAAGACAATTAAAATTACGTTTAATCATTTATTCTATAGAAAGCTAAAAGTTGCTGTTGACATTGAATTGCAATAAGTTCAAATTGATCACAGTCCGTCAAATGGAGATACCCCCGAACGCGAAAAGTGACAGTCTCTATAGTAGCGCGTACAGCCACCTTGAGCTTGCACACAGGCCGTGCAACGTGGCCTCATTGAGTTCACTAGAGTCTCAAAGGATGCATGAGGCAAGTTGTTCCGCTCAAACACCAATTTCTATTCCAATTGTGCAAGTGTGAGTGGCTGTCTACTTGCAGCAATCCCCCGTCCAATTTCGTCCCAGAATGTTCAATGGGAGCCATATCCGGGGAAAGAGACGGCCATGGAAAAACGTTAATGTTGGATATTTATTTCCGGTACTGAAAGGCCACAGGCCTGTAGTACAACACATTTATAAATCAATATTTACACGCACATGTAATATACATGAAGAAGAGAAATTAATCAACTGTAGGTGAGATTGTGTTCTGAGATATATTTTGTCCTAAACAACATGGCATAGTAAGCAAAGTTTTGAAGTATAGTATGTTTTTTTGTGATTTAACAATGCTGAAAATTTATAAAGGTTTGGATGGGCACAATAATATTTCTTAAACAACATTCTCAGGGAATTATAAGCAGGGCAAATTAAAAGAAAATGATATTCATCTTCTATTTGGTTAAGATCACATAGTTTGCAAGTTCTATTTTCTTTTTTGACATTTTTAAATCTTCCACTTTCGATAAATAAATCATGTGAAGAACATCTTAATCTGCTTAACGCTATCCTATACTTTTTTACGTTTAGACATGAAAGATAAATTTCGGCGTCAAAAGTACATTTTAACATCTTATAATACAAACATTTACTGGAAAGTGATAACTTTTCAAACCATTCTTGTAAATAGATATCTTTTAATCTGCGTGTTAGTTCTAAAAGAAACTTACCCTCAGAATCAGCATACTGATCGTTCCATACAAAACCAAACCCTTTCGAAAATAGAAAGTTTCTAACAGAAGAAACCCAATTTGTGTGTCCATTTTTATCGAATAGCATCATCATATTGTAACATTTCTTTGGTAGCCTATAAGAAGGCATCTCCAGTAATTTTAACCAGTATTTTATCACTCTGATACTTGAAAACAAGTGCATCGGGTATTTACCACATACTCCATACACCATTGTATTCATCGTATTGGATTTAACACCAAGAAATCTTTTACATGCTTTCAATTGAACTCTTTCGATATCATTGTAATAATTCAAACCCCATATTTCGGCTCCATACAATAAAATTGGCTTTATTTTGGCATCGAATATGTTAAAGTATGAACTTATACCTATGTCTCCAAGTACATTTAATTGTTTAAAGATACCTATCATAACCTTCTGTGCTTGCAAACAAGCGTAATTAGCATGTGCTGTCCAAGATAAACAATTACTGAAGAACATTCCCAAATATTTGTACGAACTGGTGCATTCTAATTCTTTACCTTTATACAACCATTTCTCGTTTTTGATAAACGTCCCCCTTTTTAAAAGCTACTACTTTAGTTTTATTTCTATTTACAGTTAATTTGTATGTGTCACAATAACTCTCAAGTTCTTGTATAAATCTTTGTAAACCTGCAACAGTGCTTGAGAATAGCACGATATCGCCTGCAAAGAGCAGAAGAAAAATATGTACTAGGTCAGGGTGTAACTGTATTCCATACTCACAATTGCTTTCAATTTGGGTTGCTAATTCATTTATGAAAAATGAGAATAAAAATGGGCTAAGTATACAGCCTTGTCTTACCCCGAGTTGTAGTTCAAAAGAATCTGAGAATTCATTGTTATTCTTAAGACAAGCTTTAACGTTTTCATACATATTCTGAATCACTTTTTTCATTTTAGGACTTAGACCATGGGTATTAAAAATAAACCATAGCTTTTGTCTGTCAACTGAATCAAATGCTTTTTCGAAATCAACGAAGAGTGTATAGAGTTTACCATCTTTGGTGTTGAGATATCTCTGTATAATACTTTGTAATATAAACATATTGTCAGTAGCCGTATATCCATGTCTAAATCCTGCCTGGGATTCATTTATTTTATTCAATGCCTCTCCCCAAGTTACTAATCTTCTGTTAATGATAGAAGTGAAAACCTTGCTAAAAATGCTTAAAAGATTAATGCCCCTGTAATTATTTGGATTATCAATACTGCCTTGTTTATGAAGCGGGACAATAATACCGATTGTCCAACTAGTTGGAAATATACCATTTTATAATATTATATTGAATAATAATTCTAAATATGGTGCTAAAATACCAGACGAATTCTTAATTAGCTTAATGTTGTTCTGAGCCATATAATCCATCGACATCCTTGCTGTCTGAGGGCTTTAAACGTCGCTGGCGTTGTTGACGTGCCAAAACTGGCTCCACATATGGCCTTCGGCAGCGGATTCCAGCAGCCCGAAGACGACGTCTAATCGTATCGCTTGGCACTGCTCCCCTTGACCCAAGAACTAAGGCTGCTGTTACTGTTGCTGCTTGAGTTCGGTTCCTTAGATGAGTGGCCCGGATGAACCGATCTTGCGCATGAGTTGTAACTCGTTGCCGTCTAGTACGGGGACGATCAGCAGCAACCCCGGTTTGCTGATGACGTTGAGCAAGTCGTGTAATGGTGGTAGAATGACAGCCCAATTGTCTAGCTACAGCGGTTGCAGAGAATCCTCCGTGCAACTTTCCAATGGTCATTCCCCGCTGCTGAGTCGTTAGTCTAGGCATCGTTTGTGTAGCGCGTTCACCTCCCAGCGTCAATACTGAACTGATTTTTGGACACAAACCTTTATGAAGGAAACCTCAGAGTGAAATGCATGCTTTTCATCCCGAGCCATCGATGCACGTGCTAAAATTATGGTTTTGCTGCACTGTTGGTGTGTTTGTGCGAATGGTTCGTATGGACGTCAAATTGCATGACATCATCTCATCTGGGATCATTACGTCACTTTACCATGACCGTTCCATAAACATGAACGCTTACCTTCATGAGATTTCATATTTTCGAAACTTGCGTTTCTTTTGCTGTTCAGTATATTTCAAAGGTAAACGGTTACTTTCAAATACAGTGATCATACCTGGTGAAGAAGTATCCTGAAGATAGAACAATTCAAAAGAATAAGTTCTGCGGGTTAAGAAGAAGCATTTCGCCAAAGTTTCTATTATGGTGCCAACTTTTTCACAGTAAGCAAAGCATCCTCTATGTAAATGGTATATATGTCTGCAGCAGATGCTGACGGAAAATGGTCGGATAAACGAAAAACCATGAGTGTTGTTTCTTTGCTGTATAGGGCCGCTCTCAGCAATATTCCAGCTACATGGCGGCGGTCTGTAAATAATCGAGTCTGGACCAGACAATCCAGTGATCAGCATCATGAGCGTTTATTTGGATATGATAACAAGTGTCAACCAAGTTCTTGCGACCAGTATGGGTTGCTAAGACGGTGTATTCCCATACTGCCTACAGTTTCAAACTGCCTACAGGTTAAA